ATTTTAATGACCTGTGTACATCTCTCTTTTATTATGATCAGCTTATTTAATTGTTTTGAATTATCATGATTTTATAAATGTTGTAAATTTTTAAATGGCAAATTGATATGACCTGCTAAAAACGGATTCTCATTCATAGAATAGTCACAAAATATCTTTGCCTCTATAGCAATACCCTTGTTCTTAAACCTCGAAAAACATTTCTAATGAATTCTTCATTGGTCTCTTTAATTTTTTGTGCTTTTGTAGGACAACATTTCACACTTAAAAATTATAATTATGTTTTTTTTGGTGGGTTTTTATCTGAATTTGGAGTTTTATTACTATGTAATGGTGAAATCTGAATTAGCATGCAATCCCATGCTTGTTGAGAGCATGTTATCTAGTCAACCAACCACATAAACATGTATATGTGGGGAAAAGCGTTGTGATTTCGCTGCTTGTCCGCCTCCTTCATTCACTTTTATCTTTTAAAGCAACTCATAATGCCATGTAATCTAAGTTAACCGATACACAGATTTAAGTGCAATTGGGTAAGCCATTTATGTTGTTAATTTATAGGCGGACTACTTAAGACTGAACACATCTTCCTAAGTTTGCAGCGCAAATCATTTATTTGTAAACAATTTGTAATTTGTGAAATATTTTCCCTTTGTAGATATCTTGTAAATATATAAAATATGACATTGTCAGTACATTAAACAAAGTTTGAATGTTGAAATTAAACAGGGAATGCCATAGGTGTTCTCCTATGTATATATTGTGTATCTGTAATATAACAATAGAAGAACATTAAATAAATTTTGAAGTGATCTCACAAGTAAACCAAAGTGTCCTTTATCAAACCTTATCAGTTCCCTAGTCCAACCGTCAGCACTTGAGAGCCTCACCTAAAAATCTTCAAATTTAATTTAGAAATGTTGCTCAACATTCTATTTTACTAGAAACGATTCGCCTTTTATCCAATAGTTTACATTTGCGACTCCCATTTCAGGTCCGTTCAATCCAAGTGCACCCAGACACTGATCGGAGAGCTCCGCAGAACAGACTCCCGTGTCCGGTGTAGGCAAAACACAAAGTCCGCTCGGCGCCGTACATACTCACGCAACTCTGCACGAACCCAGATAGAAATAACAAATTAAATCGGGGGAGTAATTTCCTCATCCCACCGCTGTCGTTGGCGATCTGCGGTCGCAGTGGGAACAGTCGCGGCGCGTCGCTTCCAACCAGAGGTCAGCAGGGGTACTGAAGCTGTTCACTTCACTATTGAGACCATAAGGTCTCCGTAGACCTGTCGTTGAGACGGTCCCTCAACGGTGTCTGGTAAGGGAACGTCCTAAAAGTACGTACATCCGTTTTTCTCCGATCCATGCCGGGGAGCTCGGCGCCCGCGAGACTCAGGGTAGGCCACCCCGCAGTACACGCATGCGCGGTAGACAAGATGTTGCATACCTAACAGGCGCTATGGGAGTTTGCAGAGGCCGAACTTTGCAAGCATGATAACCTGGCCGTACCATCTGGATGAAAGGACAAAATGTCACGTTAGCAGACGCGTCCGCGCGTGTGGCGGCTCTGCACCTGCTCAGGCGTGCGCGGGCAGGTAGCCTTTCGCTACTTAGACACCTCCATGCGGCCACATGTCGCATATGGTTGGGGAACCCTAAATCAGCAGCCTTCTCAGTGAAAGAATAGTGTATCGTTCCTTGTTGCTTTAGAGACTTTTCCGTAAGGTGCGAGAGAAGGGGAAAGGGGGGGGGGGCACCACGATCTTCTGGCAGCGTCTCCCCTCCCTCCCCCACCCCGCAACCCGCCGCACCTTCCTGGAAACGTAAATAAACAATGAAAATTGGTGTCTTCTGCTCAATTCCGTTAATAACATCGCAAATTTGTCATAGGATTTTAATTAGAATTTCAGGGTAGACAGCGCCGCTTTTTGTTGATATTAATCCAAAGGGATAGTGCTTGTTGGTTTCCAGAATATTGAATTGTTCTGTTCCGGTTATTGAAGGAGGTTAGTGTGGTCCAGTTGCTCCGTTTCATACACACAAGTAAGTTATTTGTGGAGGCAGAGTAAATGATGCCCATTATTTAAACTTGTCTCACTGTACGCTTGTTGAAAAGGTGTTGAATGGGTGCACTCATCCCTTTCCATATGCAGTATGTGAAACATTGTTGTAGGTATTTGCTGGTTTTGCTACCTGTGAATCATATATTTTATATTTTACTCTTACTCTATAGTATTCTTTATGGAACAGCAAAAGTATTAGTGCAGGTTGGGGTGCAGGCTTTGATAGTCAGCTGAGGGTTTTAGCACTGTGTACTGTGTAATCCCCTAAACAATCAATCTATGTTGCAGCTAATTTGCAACTGCCCTGTCCACTAGGGTCCTAATAATTGTGGAAAGTTATCTGGGAGATGTGCACAATGTACAGTGTGTTTATAGGGATATGTTACATCTAAACCTAATACTTGAGTCCGCAGTAACAAGACGATATACATGATAGAATGTACTATTTGGAGTAGATTCACTGTTAAAAAACTCTTCTATTAAGTAGGGCTCGACTGCTAGTAAACACCTCTTCAGCATTTTTTTTCATTTTTCATATTCTTGATTTTCTGAGAGATGGTTGAATAGTCCACTCCCAATATGGATTATTGTTTTCAACTTTCACCATCGTATTTCTTTCTGCAGATTTCTTTTTTTTTTCCCTCAGAAAGAAGTACCATGGTGAATGTGTTACCATAGTATAAATAGAATCATATGTAATCAATCAACAGTTGATAATTGTTGAGTAATAATTGAAAGCAAACATATCGCTAAAATTAGCATTTAATTTGATTGCAGGAACACAGCCCGGAAATGTTCTTGACATGAGCAAAGAAGTCTATGGAGTCATTTTACCTGAAAGTATAAGTGAGTTGACATAAAAGTAACATAAGCTGGTCCAATTTGTCTCTGTTCAGACTCTATGAGAAGCTCCCTTTGGTGTGCATCAAAGTTCATTTTTTAATGGTTTTTGTGGTACCGCTTGGTTCTTCTCTGACAATTTCAATCCTTCCCCGTCAAAATGCAGGCTGAAATTGGTTTGGATTGGTCGGGCAGACTCCTCTTTCATATGCTCTGTGCGAAAATCATAGAGCCGACCCACAACAGCAGTTCTTTTCCTGTTACTTTAGCTTGTTCGCATTAGGTAGGCAACCCGTCCATAGTTTGAAAGACCGCCATTAAAACTCAAGTTCCTGTGGACAGGGGTGGTTTCAGACAGAATCCTCTTTCAATGTCTCCGTCGAAATTTCACGCCACCGGGCCATATTAAGTGAGTAACGCCTCTTTTTCTTGGACCGGTTCGCCTGCAACGTAGGCAGCACGTCTTACACTGCGCGCCCTTAAAACTCAAGTTTCTCTGGACAAGGGGTGGTTTCTGGCGGAACCAAAAGTAGTTTTGTGGTCCCCTGGTTCACCCCTGTCGATTCGACTA